ATTAACTTAGTTAAAGAATTACTAACGCTAAAGAATATTAAGGACGTATAAGGTTTCCTAGGATTTATAAATTACTACTAACGATTAATTAAAGATTTCGGAAAGATTATAGTACTACTATATAACTTAATAAAGAAGGAAAAAGAATTTATATAGGATAATAAAGCTAATAAAGCTTTCGATTATATTAAGACTATAATTATATAAGAATTAGTCTTAACTACCTTTAATCTAAAACGATAAATCGAACTTAAAACTAATATATTAGACTTTACTTTAAAAGTATAAATTAGATAAAAAGATAATAAAGGAAGACTACGACTAATTATATTTTACTTAAAAAAGCTATATAGCGTAGAACTTAATTACCCTATTTATAATAAAGAATTCCTTATAATTATTTAAGCTTTTAAGGAATTTCGATACTACCTTCTTAGAAGTAAATATAAAGTTAAGGTCTATATAGATTATAAGAATATCTTATACTTTATAATAATATAATAGTTAAACGGACAATAGATCTAATAGGCTAAATACTTATTAAAATTCGACTATAAAATAATCTATAGAAAAGGAATAGAAAACGGTCGAGCTAATGCCTTTAGTTAATAAAGTAACTATAATATAAGAGCACCTATAGTAAAAGGATAGCTCTTAGAAATTAATAAAAATAGAAACTACTAATAACGATAGCTAAATATAATATTTAAGGTATAACCTAACGACTTAATATACTAAAAGATCCTAAAATAGATAAAAGAATATAAAGTATTAAACGGATATAATATAGAATATTTAGAAGTCTTAATATATAAAAATAAAATCTAGATACTATTAGTATTATAAGATAAAGTTATATAAGATATATATAAATATTTAATATATAGATACTAAGGAATCTAAAGGATATTAAAATAAATTAGATAATAATATAACTTCTTATAGCTTAAGGAAGTAGTATAATAAATTATTAAAGAATACGAACTTTATATATAAAGTAAAGCTTAACGATATAAACTATATAGAGAATTATAACCGCTACTAGTACTAGAGAAACTATAGGATTCGATAGCTTTTAACTATATTATAAAGCTACTACTATTAAAAGAACCTATAACGTTAAGTATAATAGTATATTTATTATTATTAATAGATTAACGAAGTATAGATACTTTTTACTATATAAAGAAGTAAGTAATATAGAAGAGCTAGTATATATATTCCTATAAATAATTATTAGTAATTATAAACTACTAAATAAGATTATCTTTAATAGAGGAAGTATATTTATAGCTAAATTTTAGTAAGCTTTTATAGTATAATTAAGGACGAAATATAAGCTTAGTATAGCTTATTACCTATAAATAAATAGATAAATAAAACGACTTAACTAAACGCTTAAATAATATTTATAATACTATATTAACTATAAATAAAACGATTAAGTTAAATAGCTACTAATAGTATAATTAGCTTATAATAGCTTAGTTAGAGAAATAACTAAGCTCTTATTAGTATATACTAATTATAGATACAACCTAGAAGTATTTAAGGTTACTTAATAAGGACTATAAGCGGAACGAGCAATACTATAAGTAAATTAGCTACGAAAATTATATAAAGAAATACAATAAGAACTTTAATTCGTTAAAGAACGAATATCTACTTATTATAATTAGAAAAGATTATAGGGACTAATCTTTTAAGAGGAAGATATAGTCTACCTTATATAACGAAATATTAAAATAAAACGACTAAGTAATAAATTAGATTTTAAGAAACTTAGACCGTTTAAGGTTAAGAAAGCTATTTTAAAAGTTAACTACGAACTTTCGCTACTAATAATAATACGGATATACCTAATATTTTATATCTTATTATTAAAACTAGTACTATAAAACGCTAAACTATAAGATAAAATTAAAGTCGATAATAATTAAGAATATAAAGCCGAATAAATACTAAATATAAGAAAATAAGGTTAGTAATAAGAATACCTTATTAAGTAAAAGGGATATAAACTAAAGGAAAATACCTAGGAACTACTTAAGCACTTAACTTACTATAGCTTTTTACTCCGATAGTTCTATTAAGCGAACCCTTAATCGGAAATATAGGGTTACTAAGAATAGTATCTTAGTTTAATACGTCTAAGGTATTAAACGATTAAACCTCGCTAATAGTAATAGTTTCCTTATTTAATAAACGAACTAATTTATCTTAAGGAAAACGTATTATACTATCTTCTTTATTAATAGCTTATATACCCCGCTAAAATAACTTATTACCTCGGTCCTTTAAGAAACGCTTCTATTTCTTAATCCGAGCTAGGCGAGCTATTACTTTCTTTAACGCTTTTTTTACTTTCCGTTCGTCCGAATTAATCTTTTACTATTAATTTATAATATAATAAACTAAAAAAAAAGGAATATTAGTAAAAAGAAGAATAAGGAAGGAAAGGGATAAAATAAATAGGCAGACGCTATATTATAACTATTATAAGAACGGCCTATAGAGGTATATTTAAAACACCGATTAAAACGCTCGCTAACTTTATAAGTTAAGCTTAACCGAAAATAATAGGAGTAAGGTATAATTTTAATACTATAGATCTCGGTCTAAGATACTAGCTCCGATTATTAACGCGATTTATTAGAATTATAAGAATAGGATTTTTAAATATAACTAGATATACTATTAGTAGTATATCCTAAAAGGATAAAAGAATAAGGAACGATATACTTATATATAACGCGATAAGGGTATATTTATATATAGCGGCTAAAGTAGTAGGTCTTAGGGATAAGACTAAAAAAAGGAGAGGTATCCTATTATAACTATAGTCTAGCAAACTATAGGGACTAATATATATTACGAGGTTATATAATATAAGGAGCAAGGAATATTAAATAGACCGATAGGCTAATTAAGTTTAAAGCGATAGGTTACTTTAGCGCTCTAACGCTCTATAGCTAGGATCGTAGGATCGCTCTAGCGCTCTAGCGCTCTTAGATAACGGGATTACCTAGCGCTCTCGGCGATCTAGGGAAGCTCTTAAGATATATAAGGAAGGAACGGAATACTTCTTTAGATAGATAGCTTAATAGCTTTTAATATTATAATTATTACGATCTTTATTATAATCTTATCTTTAATTCTAATTACTTAATTACCTAGTTATAGTCTATAGTCTATAACCTCTAACTTATTACTAACGTAATATACTTATTATTACTTAGACTACGCCTTATTATATCTATTAATATAAACCCCTCGATAGGTTTATCCCTTAGGAATAATACCGGTCGTTATAAGATCCCCTTCCCTATATATTTATATGCGCTTATAATCTTCCTAATAACGGCTAGGTAGAGCCCTAACTACCTCCTTTATCGATCTCGGCTTATATACGCGTACAGCGTACGCTAGCTTTAAGGCGGCGGGTGCTTACCTAACTAGACCGCGGCAGCTATCTCTACGTGCCTCTAACTAACTATAAGGCTAGCTATAAAGCTAGCTACGCGGTATCGTTATCTTCGTCTCGATATAGCCTTAAGTCTTAAGGTATAGGTAGGCTAGTATTCTTAGTAACGCAAGGTCGGCTATAAAGGCTTTAAACGATATTAGGGTCTTAGATTTAAAGAAGTAGCTTATTAAGATCCTAATAGTAAGGATTAGCGTAATTTATATATAAAAGGGGGGGCTTCTCTACTAAAAGCTTCTTAAGCTACTACTAAGGGTAAATATTATACTTTATAAGTAGAACGTTAGCTTAAAGGCATTAAAAGATCGTATATATATAAGGAAGCCCTTACTACTATATAAATCGACCTATATAATATAATAGCGGCTATAACTCTTACTCTTACCTAGGCTTTAAGGGTATCGCGGCTAAGGTAAGCTAGTATTACTTAGTAAGGAGGTTAACCGCTTAATAGGTAAGTTTAACGTTTAGCTTACCTAGCTATTTTTAGCTAAGATAAAGAAGCCGCTGCCTTAACTTTTAGTAGGCCGCCTCTTAGATATAAGAGCGTTCTTTATTCGCGATTATTTACTTTAATATAGTATATAAGTAAAAGAGATCGCTAGTATTACGGAGTACCATGCCCCACCCCCCTTTCGGTAACACCCACCTTTCGGTAGCGCAATTGAAAAATTCTCCACCAAAAGTCTACCATTTGAACTACATGAAATATGATCAGAACTTAACATTATAAACACAAAAAATATATCATTCCGTAGAGAAATGGACGCTCTTATATGTACCGGCGCTTTTTTACCATTCGCCCGGATCTGGTGGTGACTGGAAGGGCTTCGGTGCCACCTTGACTTCAATCACTGAAGCTGTCTCCACCTCTGAGACCGCCTCCTCCTCTGTGTCAGAATTCAGCACAACGGCTATCTCTTGGCTTTTAATTTGGGAATGGCTTCCTCAGCCACCAAAGCTTCACTGAGAGTCATGAACCGTCTGTTCGGGTTCGGAATTGCTCTCCTCTTCTTGCCTCTCTGCAGCCGGGCCACTTCTTCCTCTAGCTTCGCGATTCTGTTGCTGTGCTCGGCAAGCGTCTGTTCTTGGGCTTCAAAGCCTCTAGCTATCACGGCGTATCGTCTCCGGGTGCCAGGAGTCTTGTTCTTTCCGAAATCGCGAATCTGGCGGCTGTTTCTTGGCGTATCATCAGAACCCAAAATGGCGCGGACTTTGGAGACGTCTCTACAATGTCCGCGTGAATTTCTGGATGCCGCAATGCCTTGGATCGTGAGATCGGCCAATTCCCAGTGACCCTCCAGCCGGACAATATATTCTTTGCCGTCATTCCAACCTCGCGCGCTTTAGCATATGCCCGTATAAAATTGACCTTATGAACAGGCGCAGAATCGGTCAAACAGGTCAATTTCTGAAGTTCTTTCCGGTAAGCTGCCTTGGAGGCATTGAATACACCGTTATCTAACGGCTGGAGGCCATGAGCAGTGGGCAGGAAGGTAACAGCAATAAACGTTGTTCAAAAAGCATGTGGCCATCCATGCATCCTGGTCTCGGTTAACAGTAATTCCTACAGAGGTGGATAAAGAAACGCACCGTTGCATGACTTCCATGTCCATCTAATATGATCAGTCTAGCATCTGAGGCATCGGCTGGTCGCGTCTGGGGCAAATAGACCCTCTCAAGCCACTCAATAGCGATATGGTTGTCCGTCCATCCGTTGGGCGACGTTATGTAATGCCAGTCGGCTATTTTGCCGAATTCCGTCAAGAACCACTGTTTCTGAAGCTCTTTGCCCTTAAAGATAATGCCAGGGGTAAGGACACGGCCGTCCGCGGTGATAGCTTCAATAAATGAGGTCCAGTTGCGGGACTGTGGCCCTTTCAGAAGGGCCTTCCGTTTTGGGTCTGCACTCCCAACCACAAGACTATCCAAACCTGGCAAAAGAGTCTGGTTAGTAAAAGTAATGAAAGACAAGCCAAATACTCACCAAAGCCAGACATAATACCGCCTTCGTCAACATTCACGGTATTTTCTGGTTTAATCCATCCATACTCCTTTTCCCTGATATCGAAGAACCAGTGAACCGCCCGAGGCGTAAAAGCATTAAATCGGTTAGCTTCCTGACGTCTCCCACGCTTGTTCTTGATGTCCGGATGGCGATTGATGAATTTAGAGACCCAGTTGCGCCCCACTGTCCGCTCGTTGTTCAGTTGCTTTATAAGAGCCTCCACATGCGCGGATCTGACTGTGGGAGGGAGCATAGCCGAGAGACTCTTGGCGGAGGATCCAAGAAACCAAGCGAGCTTCCTGAGACTTACTCAAGAGTTGACGAGGCTGGATCTGATCAGCCAGGGCTACCTGGCCTTTGAGTCTGTCGGAAATAGACTGCTGAGGTATGTCATACTTTTGGGCGGCGCGGTACTGCGACAAGCCGTTTTGTGACATCAATTATCGCATTAGCCATAATATCCTCCGTATAAATACTCCGAGGCCGCTTTAAGGTCATTTTGGTCATGTGGTGGAGGAATAACGAGAAGAATCATCGTCAGGAGGCGGAAGGAGATTAGGGGTTGGATGGTAATTTCGCGTGCAAGGTACGCACAGGCCGCAGACCCTGTACAAACATTCAACCATCGAAAAGTAGAATTCAATCAATCCACTATCTACTCCAAGTGACGGCTTGTGAATATCTTCAAAGCTGGCTGGAATCCGTGTAAGTGAAATTGATGGTTTTTGGTGGGGATATTTTCTAATGCGCTACCGAAAGGTGGGTGTTACCGAAAGGGGGGTGGGGCATGGTAAGTAGAAGTATAGGCTTAGGTACGGTCTATTAAAAGAAGGTTAATAATCTATAAGGGGGAAAAGGAAGAAAAGTATAGGCCTAGCCTATATAGGCGTAGAGGCCGCTTATATATAGACTTAGCCTAGACCTTAGTCTAGGCCTATATAAGGTAAAAGCCCTTATATTATACCCCTACCCGGCTTTTAAAGAGGCGCGCCTCTAAATAATACCCAATACCGCGCTTAGGGGGATAGAACCTTTACGCGGACTACGTACGCCTAGTCGCGGAAAAAACATTAGTAAATAATATATAATACCCTCTTAAGCGAGCTTCTCGGATAAACTATATTATTAGTAGGGGCCGCGCCCTAAGAGTTAGGCTTTAGCACTTCTAGCTAAAGAGCAAAGGTATATAGAACGGCGCGTAGCTAGCTTCGGTAAGCTTATAGTATCCCGCCCCCTTTATATCGGCGCACGGTAGTAGCTCCTAGTACTATAATATAAGGGACGGTACTCCGGTATATAAAGCTCTACTCCCTCCTATATAAGGCTATATAGGCACTCCCTTTTACTATAGTTATATTATATTAGCGGCCTTCCTATATCTTAGCTACCCTTTCGGTCGCTATAGGTATACGTCCCGTCTATATAGCAGCTACTACCGTACGTAAAGGGACGCTAATAAAGCCCGTAGAGGCGTTACTAAGATTACTCGTCGCTAGAGTCGCTATCGTCGAACCTAACCTCCTTTCTATCCTAGCGCGTATGCCCCTCTACTACTTAGAGTACGTTTACCCGCGCCTCCTAGCGCGGGCACTTTAAAAACTAATAGGATTTACTACCGTAGCCTATATAGCGACCCTCCTATCGCTACCTCTTTCTATCCTCGGTCCTTAAGGTAGAGATAAAGATATCTATAGTATTACTAGCGTTATCCTTTTCTTATACTATAGAAGAAGATAAAAAAAGAAACTTATTGCTACTAAGCTCGCGAAGAAGGTAGATAAGATCGGTATATATATCTAGTAGTATAGACCTTTCGCTTAAATAGGTATATTAATCCGAATTTAAGCTTATAACGAGGTAATTATACTTTACCGCGTTAAGCTAGCTATATACGTCTACTTAATAAAGTACCTCTTTAAACTATATAAAGTAGGCCGGAATAGCTTTACTCCGCTTTTAACGGAGCATTATAAGCTCCTAGCCTACTAACTTAGCTATATTAGTTTCGCCGTAATTAGTATAGAGCTTTATAAGGAGGTCGGCTAGTTTATTTATACTAGTATACGTAAACGGTAAGAGATACCTTTATAGGTATAGGGATAGGCTCGCGTAAAGATAGTCGAATTAAGCGTAGATATCCCTTATTACGGCGCTATTAATACGGAGCTTCGCTTCTATATAAAGTAGCTATAGCTCGAGCTCTATAAAGGAGCCATCGAACTTACTAAGGTATAGTAGTACCGCTCTTAGTCGTGCGGAGCCCTACTATTATAAGAGGCTCTTAATTGCCTAGGCGAACTAAGTATTACGTTCGCCTTAATTTTACGACTATAGGAGTATAGATATTTCGCGTATATATATACCGGCGCGGGTAGTTTAACTAGACTAGGTAATTAAACGTTGGCTTTAAAGGCAGCTAAAAATAGCTATTCTATATATAGGGATATAGAGAGGGTAAAATAAAAGGTAGATTATACTATTACGGAGTAGGTAGAGGCATAGGCTTAGGTATAGTCTATTAAAAGAAGGTTAATAATCTATAAGGGGGAAAAGGAAGAGAAGTATAGGCCTAGCCTATATAAGCGCGGAGGCCGCTTATATATAGACTTAGCCTAGACCTTAGTCTAGGCCTATATAGGGTAAAAGCCCTTATAGCCGGTACCTATAAGTAAATATAACTTTATATTTTTATATATAGTCTTAACTAAGCTATTAACCTTCTAGCTAAAGTTACGATAGCGGCTAATATAGTAATAAGCTTACTACTCTTACTATAGTATATATTCCTTAGAAATATATCTTACGATATAGCCTTAGTATTATCTATACTTATAATTAAGCGCCCGCTAAGCCGACTAGAAGCTTACCTTAGTTAGGGTATAGATAACGGCCTTCTAAGTAGTAAATATCCCCTCGCGGCTATAGTCTTTAAGTTATATAGGTTATATACTTAAGATCTTATCTTTAGCTTCTTCTTATATAGCGACTCTACTAAGGAAGATATTAGTAGGATTATTAGCGCCGTTAACGCTATTAGCTTTATTATTATTATTATTATTATTATTATTAACGCTGCTAGGCTCCTTTTAATATAACTTAATTTTTACGTTAATATTAACGTTAATATAGTAAACGTAAAGTTATTACTATAACGAAGGGAAAATATATAAGAGTGCGTTTTTAAGGGCTTTTTCCTTATCTATAATAACTATAAAAAGCGCCGGGACCTTAACTTTAAGGCAAAGCTCGTTAAGGTATTTATAAAGCTACTAGAACCCTTCCTCCTTCTCTATATTAATAAGGCTAAAAGCGAAGTTAGCTATAAATAGTTAATTAGTAACTTTAGTAGCCTAGAAGAGATATATCTTAAATCGGTTCGTTTTATATATATTATTAAGTCCTAAGACTTCTAGAAAGCGCTTTTATATTTACTTATACTAAGGGTATATTTAAAAGATAGCCTCGACCTTTTACTTATTATTATTAACGCTAAATTTAACTATATACTTAAGGCCGCCGCGTTAAAGGTAATCGATAAAGGCCTAGGTTATAGTCTTACTACTAAGGGCCGCGGTATAGATCTTCTAGCGGTCGTTATATATATCTTACTAGCGGAAGAAGCTCTCTTTAGTAGAGTCCTTAATAATCGAGGCTATCTCGCGAGCTAGGAGGGCACGATACTTAGAAAGGCTTCTCTTAAGCTCTTACTATACTTAGGTTTAGCGGCGATAGACGTTATAAGCTAAAGGGTTAATTAATTGCCTATAGTTATATTAACTATCGTTAACGTAAAAAGTCTACTTTTAGTAGGATCTTTTTATTATACATACGATAATCTTAACGGGGTAGTTAAGCTTCTATAAGGAAGCTTTATAAAGGCCGCTACTTAATAAAGCTTATTAGAAGCTATAATTATAAATAAATATAACGTATATAGGTAAGGCTTGCCTATTAATCTTACGCTTACGTAAGCTAGAGCTCCTAACGATAGCAGCGCTATAACTATAATAGAAGCTTTAGAGGAAGTTATAGAGCTCGTTAAAGGAGTTAAAGGTTAGCGAGGGGGGTAGAGGTAGAATTAATAGCCTAACGAGCTCTTTAGTAGGCTCTTTAGCAGGCTCTTTAGTAGGCTCGTTAAGGATAAATTATAGGTCTATCGCGAATAGCTTTACTTTACGATATAAGTAGGAAGGGTAGATTTCTCCCTTAGCGGGGCTTTACGCTATACTTAGCGCGGCTCCCTCCTTTACTACGTTAGTATAGCTAAATTAGGTAGCGGGGCCTAGGCGGGCGGGTTACGCGTAGAAAAAGTAGATCGTCTATATAAATAGAGACTTTTATCTATATAAATTCTAAAGGTATATAAGTAAAAGCGGAATTTTAGGAAATTAAGGAATTACGTAAGACTATATAATAGAAGGGAAGAAGGAGTATAAGGTAGGATTTTCAACGGAATTTATTAGTAGTATATTAGTATATAAAAGAGGTGTTAAAGTTAATAATTCTTCCTCTATTTACTAGCGGACATGCTATCTTATATAGATAATTATAGCTAAACGGAAGAACCTTTCGGGACTAGATTTAGGCTGCTATATAGCCCTAAGACTAAGGAATTCCGTAATACCTCGAGTAAATCTAGAAGTATCTTAGTTCTACTAATATTCGTGTTTAAAGGAGGTTGGTCGTGCCGGTATTCTTAAGAGGTCTTAGCTAGTATTCTAAGCTAGCTCTATTCCTTCGATTCCCGATTATACGATAACCGGCAACCCGTTTAATATATAATAATATATAAAATAACGAACGATTCTTACTCTATAAGATAGGATTTTATCTATAATTAATATACTACTTATTAGCTTATATAATCGGGAGAGTATATTATAGCTGCTTTATTTATAGTAGGAACACCGTTCTTTATATAAATAGTAATACTTATTATATATAGCTTTAAACTACCTTTATTAGTTCCCTTTACTATTGTCGCGAAGCGTGGCCTGATTTCGTAGTTCTCGGAGATATCCCTTAGCACGAGGGACCAAGGAAGCTAAAAACACCCGGTGTAGAAAAAGGAAGAAGGAGCTAAAAAGAGGTGCAGAAAGGAGGGTAGGGGCAAGAGGGGAAGCAGAAGTAGCGATAGCTTCCTATAGAGGTAGCGAGAGATAAGACGGATATGCCGGCAACGGCTAGAAAGGAGGGGAAAAACCGGTAATAAGCTCGGTAGTTAAAGGGACATTAGTAGCTTCTTTAAGCAGGATCTTCTTTGTTAATTAAGATGCTAGACGGGTATAAAGAGGGGCGTTGGATAGAGGAAAGAAGGACAATTAAGGCAATACAATAATCACTCCCCTGCCGCAATTACTGCTCCCGCAAGAATCAAATCTCTCTGCCCTGCTTGTCCGACCCCTTACTTCTAATTTTACCTTTATTTATTTTTATA